TATCCAATATATCGCAATAAGCATCGTGCTTATACAATGTACAATTAAACATTGTACTTTTAATCTGAAACTCAGATCTCAGACAAGTCTCAGATTTCAAATTCTGTCCATTGTATTGCAGTATTTAAACAATTAATGCCGTTTTGGCGCTGTTTAATGTGGAGTGACAGATCGCTGTAGCACCTCAGTTCAACAGACGCGGCACATGAACTGATCATCTCCTCCACATTAATACCGGTTTCAGCACAAAATAAACATGACTAAACATCCGAAGGTAATTTAAAAGAAAGAGTACAACTTTACAATCTGTATCCTGTCTCATGTAATCGCTCAATCAGTGTTTCAGCTGCGCAAAGACGTCAATATAATGGCTTCTAAACAATGTCACTTAACGTCACATTTACCTCAGAAAAAAACATATTCGGTGACCATAAACTCATTAGTCAGATAGAAAAATAAACTGTAGAGAGGGGCATTTTGCTAAATATATGCACCATATAACATATTCATTATAATTTTTACTGTTCTTCAATGTTTCATTTATGTTTGGATAAATCCATCAAGTTTTTATGACAGCCACCATTTAAATGTTTATATTTAAAAAAAACGAATTGAAGTAGAAATATTTCTATGTAACTGTAACTTTATTATTCATGAATTTTAACCTTCAATATTATAGCAATGTTGTACCAACTGACTCTCATGTATATTTTGCAGCATTAGTTGAGATTTTTTCAGGCATGTACTGTACCTGATATATATCCTAAATAATAGATATTGAATCTAATCGAATCGCAAGCTTGTGAATGAGAATCGAATTGAATCGTGAAATTTGTGTCAAAACCCAGCCCTAGTATCTTGGGTCTGCAGCTGGTGAAATAACACTTAGACTACGCCACTAATTAGTAAATTAGCAGATACTTCTAGCCAAACAGGATCAGTCCTCTTGGACTTGATCAAGGTCACAATGGCGATGGGTTCGAACCCACAACCTTTTAATTACCAGCCCAGATTTTTAGCCAGGCAAAACTAGACCAGCAGTTTAAAACTTCTAAACTTTCTAAACCACAAACACAGCAGCTTGAAGCACGTCACTGAGCTACAATGTGCATCTGGTAAACAGCATCATTAATTACTACTAATCGCTAATTAGTCATCTGGCTGACTCCTTTACCCAAAGCAACAGTTCACAGAAACGGGTCAGTCCTCCAGGGTTAAGTGCCTCGATCAAAGCCGTAATGGTAATTAGAATGGATTAACCTCTCAAGGGTTTGAACCTACAAACTTTCAAGCAACCCTAATATTTAACCATTATTCCCAAACACATGCTGCGGGAAAAAACATGTTATTAGTTATAGTCTAATTTTACAAATAAAGGTTGAAAGGCGGAATTCAGGTAAATCGGGTCATCCTTATGTCAAAAAGTGGTTAAATATAATCAAATTCACCTTATATACCTTGATAATATACCATGGTTTTTACATGATACTCTATTTACCTCCAACAAAACCATAGCATTACCATAGTACACGTCCAAAATATGGTATTATGGTAAAGTTATATTGTGTAACTGCCATCCTCTAATGGGCAGCTAACCTTGGACCATGGTACAATGTCTAAAAACCATAGTATTACCATAGTACTTTATTGTTAGTGTAGTTTTGAAGCAGTTTGGTGGTTATCCAGTGCCTTTAATATGGATTGATAGGAATCTTTCAGTAGGTTTGGAGAAATAATTTAAATATTTATTTATTTCATTATATTATATTATATCTCTAATATACACAATATACTACAGTTTATACATGATACTCCAATCAATTTACCTCCAACAATACCATGGCATTACCATAGTACACGTCCAAAAAACACTGTATTGTGGTAAGGTAACTGTCACCCCTTTTTTACCATGTTTAAAAACCATACTATATCATGGTACTTTATTGTTAGTGTAGTTTTGAAGCAGTTAGCAGGTCATTAGTTATTTGACACTGTAAGTTATCAGTCCAGTCGAGCGTAAACAATTATTCGGTCATTTCGCAGATACATTAATATTAATATTACCTGTGTGAAGTCTTCATCACTCAGCAGGTGCGCGTCTCGAGCTTTGAAGCAGTTCTGGCATTTATTCTTGTTGAAAATATTGGCCTGGAATTTTCGGCAGGCGTTATCTTTTGCAGACATACTCTGTGCCTTGAGTGTTCCCGTTTTTCCGTTATTTTAAAAACTGCGCAATAATTCCAGCGGAGGGTCCTCCGCTGCAGTCTGCAGTCCGCCTCATCACAAACTCACTACGATGATTTATTTTTGCACAATAATCACCTGAACTCCATGATGCATGATGCGCTTCAGTGTGGATTCTCTCTCGAGTTTCTGCTCCAAAGACGGATTTTTGTCCGTTTCCCACGATCACAGCTGATCACACGGGTCCGGCTGAGCTCTCCACACACACTAGACACTACACACGACACACACACGCAGGAATGAAGGGGGCGGGGCACGACGCAATCGACATACACCGTAAGCCAATCACAGGAAGGAATACGCCTACCGTTTGTAGTCAGAGGACGGAAGTGTCCAATCAGATTGTTCAATCACATTGATTTTATGTGGAATAACAAGAATCAAGGTAGGTGGACTGCGCACGGGGTAAACTGAAGTTATTTAAACTTACAGTCAGGATTTTATATGTATTTAAACTGTGTTTTTAGCGATTTTCGTCTGGTTGTAAAACGAAAAAGCGCAACACTAAATAATTCATGCGGTAAGATTTTTGTTAACTACCCTTGTAACGCCCCCAGATAGTGACCAATCCTACCTGAGCGGCTCTCCAGGGCCCCCGTTTGGCATTAATGCGGTATGAGAGCCTGAGAAAAAAACATTAGTAATTATATATATAATATATATTATTATTATTAATATTATTAGTATTAGTAGTAGTGGTAGTAGTATTTAATAATATATAATAAAAAAAATAATAATTACAATATTTTAAATGCTATTTCATTGTATTTTAATACTAATATTTTAACACTTAACTTTAATATTATATATTTATTGATAATTATAATAAAAATATAAAAATATTTTAGATTTAAAGAACGAATTATATTATTGTATATCTTTATATATTTTAAATGTAAATATGTTAAAATATATTTTAATAAAATATTTATTTAGAATTTCATTACACTATATTAAAATAAATATTTGTCATTTTTTGCTTATGTGTATGTAGTAACTGAACAGGGAAATAATAAAAAAAGAATTCATGATCTCTCAGAGGCACAAAACTTTATTTTTTATTTTTTTTAAAAACTTAAAAATTGCAAAATGCATATTATTCAATCATTTTGTAAGCAGCCATTAATGCAAGTTCAAAGGCAATGTTAACATTTCATGATGCATGAATCTGACACATTTCACCATGTTTTTAAAATGACAATGTAATAAATTTACAGACAAACCCTCTGATTTCCTCAAATTAGTAGGACAATAACACACAATAACAAACAATGTTTGTTTGATGTTATAAAACAGATGAGTGTCAGTATTTCCATACCAGCTTCCATAATGCATAAGAAATGATTACCGATCTTTCACATTTTTGAAAGTATTACATTAAACGTGGTAGTCAATCATAGTGTTTTAGGACTGGCCTAAAAAGTGAAACTCTTCAAATGAGGGTACCTGAAGTCTTTATGTTAGCGTTAATACTGAACATCATATGACACGTTTCTGAGAGCACGTGTTTCCCTTTAGTAACGTCCAATGACACGAGAGACAGAATGTGAGCGATTCCTCTATGTCCTGTTGATGGATGGAGCGTCGTTTATCTCCTCGTTGTCCTCTTCATTCATCAGCGGTTCTCTGTCGGTCTGAGCAGGAGCGCTCTGAGCCGCTGACCTCTTAGTCGTCTTATTCAGAGTGCTTCCCTGTAAACACACACGTATCATTGCATTAAACAATCATTCATAACCTGAATATCTTAAGGTCATCATAAAACTATTCATAAAATTCTGCTTCATTTCATCTACTGATTAAGATCATGAACATTTTTCCTTTGGTATCACATGCACTGATGAACTGTGCATGATAAGATCAGGAATGTATACAGTATTACAAAAATAACCAGGGTTGATTTTCAGTTCATTTTCATTGCATTAGATCATGAACGATACTGTCACAGCAGAACAATCCAATCCACCTCTAATGGACGCGTTTTCAAAGCCAAAAATAACCTCTGCTATTCCAAAGTACTGTTGACTCAAAACTCATAGTTCACGTGTCGCTCAAGTCATGCATAAGTTCGGATCCACTGATAGCAGTTTCTCTATCATTCTAATGCATGATGTAGATAATAACAGAGGCGAATCCGGCTTTTCAGGCTCGGAGATAATCCTGTAATTACGCCGTACAATCACACATTCTTAAACATCGTTCCATCTTACTGTTGCTATGGTTACCTGAGGTTACCCATCTATGATGGCTGATTCAGAGAGATGTGGCGATAGTGTGTGTGTGTGTTACTGTACCTGTCTGTAGTCAACGATGTTGAGGATGGTAGAGGTGACTATGCAGCTGATGGTATTGGCCAGCATAAAGATCATCATATATTGCCATCTCCACAATGGGATCTTAACATCACTGTGCAACACACACACAAAACTCACATGGTACTCAAACATACTTCAAAGAATATCACGATGCTGTCAAAAAACATAATATGGGTACTTTTTGTGAAATAATAAAATGTGCATGAATAAACATGTACTGTATTCAATTTCAGTGTGCGATGAAAATGAATGTTGGCCATTTATGTCACCTGGATTTGGTTCCCAGTATCTGTCCCACCACCAGGTTAGAAATGCCGATGCCGATCATCTGTACGGATGTGGCCAGTCCCATCGCTGTGCCCAGTGTGGCTTGAGGAACCACCAGCGGGATGGAGGGCCACATGCTCGCCTACAACACACCAAATAATAAAAAACAATGATAAACTGAAGTTCAACAGCAGGAATTCAATATGTATATTATCATGCAGTGTTTATCACAGGTCTTTTCTTTCATTTTATTTGCAAAACCTTTGAATTCAGAATAATGGCACAATATGTTCTAGGTGAAATGACATGCAACAAAAAATGACATGCAAAAAATGTCAGTCTAACAGAAAGAATCACACACGTATGTTTAACTTTACTATTCAATGTTATGCCATAGGTCTTGGATATACATTTTGTTTAGCTTTATTTGTGAAACGTGGAAAATTTGTGCAATATCATCTTTGTATATTATTAATATATACAAATAATATTAACATTATTTATAATACATATATACACACACATTCAGATTTATTTCTATATATTTACAATTTACATGTATATATTCAGATTTTATATAATTATTTCCTATCTATCTATCTATATAATAAATTAGTAAATATATAAATATATATAAATATCTCTAAATAAAAATTTATATATTATATTATATTATATTATATTATATTATAACATGAAGGGGAGAGTGGGGTAAGATGTGAAATTGCAAGGTGGGATATAATTATAAAAATGTCTTAGGTTCAATCCAATCAAGGATGATTTTGTAAAGATGTTTTAGTTTTTCTCTCAGGGATATAACATTTTTAAGTTTTTAAAAATGACATTTTTTAAAAGAACAAATCTAATGAAAATATTGCTATATTAAAATATTCTGAATACACTCCTTTTTTTCTGGTTTACAGCTAACATATCATTATTAAAATGTAAATAACATACAGCACTTTAGAAGACTTAAGATTAAGAATGAATTAAATGTGAATTTTTCATTCATCCTGAAATATAATTTGCTGTATTTTTCTTTTTTACTTTATTACTTTCTAATCTTATCCTGCAAACAAATCTCAGATGTCTCATGTTTTAAAATGTCAGAAATGATGATGTCACAAATTATCAATACTTCAACCAATCACACGGTCTCTTACAAAGTTGGCAGACCACACAATTGTGAGTGTACTTTAATACTTCAGTAACATCGTATAACTGGCGTCTATAGTGTCTGTGTGTGTGTTCATGATTGATACTCACAGCAGCGAATGAGTAAGTGATGCCGAGCCAGATGGTAGATATGAGAGGAGGGACGAACGTGAAGGCCAGCAGACCAAACACAGGCAGCGTCAACACGGCACAGAGCCCCGCAAACACACCGCGCAGCCCCACATAGTCCTACAGCACAGACACAAACACAATTAACATTAAACACATGACTGAAAATACAACGGAGGACAAAGTCCTTTAGTGGCATCATATAGTGATGCTATTTATATTTCATGATACATTTAATAAGTTTGGAGTTGGTAAGATTTTTTTAATCATTTCGAAAGAAGTCTCTTCTGCTCATCAATGCTGCATTTATTTGATTAAAAATACAGTAAAAACAGTAATATTGTGAAAATATTATTACGATTTAAAATAACCGTTTTTTTTTATTTGAATAGATCGTAAAATGTAATTTATTTCTGTGATCAAAGCTGAATTTTCAGCATCATTACTCCAGTCTTCAGTGTCACATGATCCTTCAGAAATCAGTATAATATGCTGATTTGCTGCTCAAGTTGAAAACAGTTGTGCGGATTAATTTGCTGAAAAAAAACTGAAATCTTTTGTAACATTATAGACATTTTTAATGTTACTTTTGATCAATGTGATGCATCCTTGCTGAATAAAACAAAATATGTGTGTAACCATGTAAATGTAATATCTGAGTGATATGTATTTGTGAGTTGAATGCGTTTGGTAAAAAGCACTAGTGTTTGATGAGCATTGACTTACGATGAGGATGCCGACGGCAGCAGACAGCACCAGTGAACTGTCATACACAGCGCCTGCGATGTACGCCGCCTCCTTCTGACTGTACCCACTGTATTTATCCTGGATAAACTTACTGAAAACACACACACAGCAACACATGAACAATGTGTACAAATCCATTTTAATGTAGAAACGTCTACATGGTTCATAACTGTACCTGGCATCAGCGATGAAGGGGAAGATGCCATTATAAAAGAACATGATGGTAAGAACCAGCAGCCAGTATCTGAGAGACAGACGCTTCACATCCTGAACTCTCTACACATACAAAATACAGCAGCTGTATCACAACATCAAATCATTAAAACCAATCTAAAACATAATGATACTATATATATATATATACACACACACACACAC